TCTCTCAGTTGTCATACTATGTCAGCTGTTTATTGCTGCTGTTCGGCTGGTTGTCTTTTACTATTATTATTATTTTTATTGTTTGTTTTTGTTTGTGTTTGTTTGTTGTTGCCACCCTCTCTGTTCTATTGCAGGTTTCGTTGCTTTCTGCAATTGGTGTTTCCCACTGCTTTTCCCCTATTGTCCCCACCTTCCATCCCCCTTCTCTTACAGGTCTTGTCCTTTCTCTGTGCTGTCTGTTTGTGCCCAACCATCCCCATGTCTGCCCCCCTGTCCGGCCCGATGACAAACCAAATTTTGATTATTACATCACCAAAAGTGTTAGCACAGTAGAAGTGCATTTTTTAGCTCTTGTTGTAAACGCACAGTTAAAGAAGAAAACATTTTCAGTAAGTGTGGTAGGACCATAATCATATACAGTCATATCTGCTTCTCTATCATCCACCAAAATCAGTACACCCCCTACCCAGGTGCAGTGACAGCTTTGTATTGCATGAAGACAGTCCAGGTTGAGTGTAGATTACTTAAAGGTACCCTGTGGATTTTTCATTTTGAAAAAACATGGCTTTATTTACATTCAAAGGTTCTCACCATAATACATTTTGTGTATCCCTACCACCCAACAAGCACATTTATAAACTGTGTTTGCTGTGTTATTCTTTACGCTTGGTACCTTTTTAAATGCAGTACCTCATCATCATGTCATTGCCACAAGTTGTCAGAAACTCCACAGGGTACCTTAAGGGGTTGTCTTATTTATTCATTCATTTATATTTCATATTCTTAATTTTTTCAGTTGAGGGTCACAGGCTGGAGCCTATTCCGGTATGCACTGGGAAGAATGTAATCGAACACATGTCGTTGGAATATGGCAGGAAAAAAACACCTGAACTACACTCACTTGCACACTTGGAGAAAATGCAATCTCCAGACAGAGATGCTGTACATTGCATTAAATTGAGGATGACAAGAACCACTGAGTCTCTGTGCTGCCAAAGAATTTATGTCAATGTCCAGCACGCAAACGGGTTTTGGTGAGTATGAGGGGGATCTGTACATGCACCTTCACAAGTCAAGGTCACAACAGCAGACAAAGCCTACACTTGCACTGAGAAAGTTATAGGAGGCAAAACCATTAAACTAAGATTGTGGTGAGGGTGAACTAAAAGGTTTAATATGTTGCGATCAGTTCAGAAAATTGTTTATTTAAGTGAAAAGCAAATATTAGAGAAATATGACTATCATACTTTGTAGAAGATGTTCTTCTTTCCTTAGTTGTTTATTAGATTGTGACCCTTCATATTTATCTGAAGCCTTGTATATGGTTGTCTATATTATGATCACGCTATTAATAATCAACACACATGAAAGTTATTCCTCAGTAGATTTTTTTTGAGGACTCAGACCATATACCACTTTGTGTTGGATTTAAAAGTTTACTGAGCACCAGATTCCTCCAGATTAGACGTTAAAACCAGTAAAGGCCATGTGCACCCACACAGGTGTTTCCAGTCATTCTAGCTGATTAGTTCTGTCCTGAGGTTGATGTCGGGCACCGCCATGCAGGGAATTATGAGCAGTCACCAAAGTCCTTGTACCAATAAAAATTGTAATGGTGTACGTTGTTCAAGGCATAACAGGTGCAAGAAAACTAACAGGAGAATCAGGGGGATGTCAAGCACAGCCTGTACACACCCACACAGTGCAGAGAAGAGGGCTAATCAGGCAAAAACACCTAAAAGCAGTTCAGTGTAATCTCAGATAATTGACTGTGTTAAAGAATATAGTTCTGCTTTGTCTTTGGGCAGGTGTGCCACTAAATATACACTGTGGATTTACTACATTCAAGCATCAGGTTAATAAACTGTAACACTTGTGTGACGTGTATTCAGACCCCTCATAACACATCACTTCAATATTCCAATAATATTCCTTTTGGGAGGACAACATTATGTTTATGTGTTTCTTCGGCTTTGATTGTATAGCTCTTCTGTAGTATTCCTATAGGACATTAAAAATGTATTAGATTACATTTTTCCTTTCTGGTTAAAAGTCATAAAACATGTAAGATAGTAGGCGACTACACAAACAACAATCCTGATTCACTTTTGCATTGGATGGCATTAATCACAATCAGATACCTTGTACACTTTGTGTGACTTTCACAACCTGACGAATTGTTAAACTCAACAAGCCCCTGGCCGCTCTCCCTACAGCCTAATGACCTAGTCTAATGGCTGTTTGTGTTGTTTCATAGTAATTGGGGGGCAACTGGCTCTGCAGCAAAGTCTCCGCTATCCTCTCCTGCTGAGATTCTTCTGCTGGATCCCTCTGGGTCCTCTGCTTTGTAGGGACTGTTTTTTGCTCTAATTATAATGTTATTGCTGTTTTCCCTCACAGTGGACAATAGTTGCCAAGCCTGAAGGTGGCCCAGCAAATGAGCTGGAGATCAAACCAGGGACACCATGATGATGAAGGCACAGTGAAGATGCAGAAGAAAATAACACATATTACTCATGGCATGGCACACTGTGGTCCCTTTTCGATGTTGTTACTCATATTTTCCCCCTCATTCTTTCCCTACCTGACAAACCACCTATTACCCACAATACATCATTAACGGTGGAAAATGGAAATCAATCTTCACTGTGTAAATCAATTTGGACCCGCGTGTGTCCTTGAAGCGCCTGGACTACACTGAGATATTAACATGACCCGTGTGGTGCCCGACACTCCTAACAGAGCTACAGATATACACTCTTACACACACATGTTTACACATGAACACACAGAACTCAAGAGATTGGCAAAACTAACGATATATTTTGTATTTTATGCATCATTCCTGCAACGTCTGTTTCTACAATTCATAAAGACCAGCTCCCCTCTACACCGCACACTCACAGGAGTGAGATTGTGCAGCGCTGTTTGAACAATCATTTCTCAGTCCAGCTGAATTCATGCTGACGCTCCAGTTTGCTCAGTTTGCTTTCTGAAAACTCCCCTCTTCCTCTTTTTAATCCTCTGAGGGGAAGCAGAGAGAGGGAGAGAGAAAGAGAGAGAGACAAGCATTGAATGCTGACAGGGACATAACTTGCCTTCCCTGCATACCTTGTTTACAGTCTCCCTCCCTGCTGCTATACCCTCCTCTCTCAATGGAGCTATAAAAAACAAATAGGGGCTTTTAGAGAAATTGCCTCTGCACTGAAGATTAATAACAGTTGCACCAGTTCACCCAAGAAAGTCTCCAGAGGCAAAAACGATATTGGAAGATTAAAAGTGCCACATCCCTAAATTGGAATGATTCAGAGCTCAGGCCACTCTCTAACCAGCGTATTGAGAGTCAAGGCCTTGGTATTTCCGCCACATAAAGAGCATCATTAAGTATTTACTTCTGGATGAGTAGCTGATGCATGAGTATAATGATGAGCTGAGGGTGTGATCGATCCTCTGTGTCTAAAATGGAAGTGTGGTAGCTCGGGAGGTGCAACAGAAGCACAGAAAAAGAGAGGTCATCCTGTGTGAGGTTAGGTCATCTTTTCACTGTTTGTAGCCCATTAGTTAAACTAGCCTAATGACAGGAAGTATACGGAGGGCACCAATTTGACCCATTATTATCAAACAAAATAGTAAGTAAGACCTTCATTAGGGGAGAGTGGGGATGGTTGTAACTCGGGTAAGTTGTAACACGTCCACTTTCTCCAATCAGGCACAAGTTATGAATCACCTGATTCACTCTGTACATGCCCAGTTTAGTCTTTATTACACATGTAAAAAAGTAGCACCATGTGGCATGCACAGCCAGTTGTAGAAGGAAAAAAATATATATTTTGAGGGAAGAAAGTATTTTTTTAAACCTCATTTATTATAATTATAGCATTGCCTGCTTTGTAGTCAAACTCATCAAACTAAAATCATGTTTATTGTGTGTATATGTAGATATTGATCATGCAAGTTGTTTGTGCTAAAGTTTTAACTGTGAGCTGTGAGGTAAGCTAGTTCATGGTTACAAGAGTCTGGGTTAGTTGTAACAACAAATGTTTAGTATGTATTTATATGTTTTCTTTGAATTGCAGTATGTGTTGGACATACAAACAACAGTAATATTTAATTGTTTTATTATGATTTTGAAATGTTAGTGTAAGACCTGTCGGCTTCTCTGTGGGCCCTTGAGGCCTGCAGTCCAGGAGTGCCATATGTCTGTCACCACTGTGAGGGTGCAAGACAAACAAGCACAAACACACACACACACACACGCACGCACACGCACGCACACACGCACACACACACGCACACGCACGCACGCACACACACATACACACACAAACACACACTAAGATATTAGTGTATGTATATGTTTGTATTATTATGTTCACAACTATGTCACTTCTATGACTGATAGTAAAATACATATGATACCTACACACACAGACACACCAATTATGTAAAAAAACTAACTGTTGAATAAAATCTTTCAATCTTTTTATTTTTCTCATATTCCATCCATTACATGATGTTACATTTCACCCTGGTGTATATTATAATGTTACATCCCACCCCATGGTATGTTAGAACAAACAGTTGGAACGCACTGGCTCAGAAGAGCTCGGAGATTCAGACAGAAATGCCAAAAATGTTACAACCGTCTCCGGTCTCCCCTATAGCTGCACACCTTGGCAAACAAAGAAACTACAGTTTTATGCACTCCTCTTACCTCATAATAATTAAAAAGATAGGTAGCAGGATTTAGATATAATAAATCATTAGAAGCGTCTAATCTCTATAGAAATACCAATGAAATAATCCCTACATTAATATTTCTGTATATATATATATATGACACATTTTAATACAAGTAAATTAAATAAAAAGAACAACCTATTTAATGCTTAGTGTGAACACTCAGGCATCGCGACACTTTTCTCTGCATATTTTCAGCAGTGCCCCAGGATTTCTGTGGGAACACACGTCTCCACAGCAACCAGACCAAAGCGTCTCTGAAGTTGCACAGCAACGACTACAAAAACAATCAGGCGTTACGTTTTGAGAGCCACACGAATATCAGTTAGTTAGCAAACATTGCCTTTCATTTCTTCTCATTTTACAAGACGACACCTGTGGATATGTTGAGAAACAAGACGGAGCTGAAAACACAAGGCTTCACCGTGAAGGCCACTATGAAGAACTCCGTGGTGAGTGAAGTTATTTGACGTCGTTAACCGTAGCAAGCTAACGTTCCGTCAGCAGGGGGTTTGTGGCCGTTTTGTTAGCTTTAGCAGTGTATGTAGCCTGTTTGCATAGCATGTGTTATTGGGGAAGGTGACGAAATACAATGTGATATTTGGGATTTTAAAAAAGGCATCATTCAGTTTATCACAGGGGCCCTGCATCATTTCTGTTAGAGAGAGCTCAAGTTGTCTTAAATCTACACAGATGTTTGGCTTGACACATGGCTTTGCCTTTGAAAGTTTGCAACATCTCATACAAGAGTAGCACAGTAATAGTGTAAGAGAGACAAAGAGAGAGAGAGGTTGAGTTGTGCTTCATGTGGTGGGTTACTTGAACGCTGACAGTCTGGACTCCCACACCTGCGTGGCACCACTTCTAGGTAACAATTGATGGAAAAAGGGGTGGTGCTGGGGGACAGCCTCTTTCTTGCAGATTTAGATTATCCTCTTCTTTTCCTCTGTCGTTTATCTATTGTTATTCAGCAGAACCTCATCTTCTTGCCTTTTGTGCAGAGCAAAATCTTTCCACACTTAATAGCCGAGAGAGATGGGGCACTGGTGGAAAAAGGGCAAAACCAGAATGGCTAAATGTTTTATCTCCAACCATTATTTTGCTGTTCCTGTGTTCTGTGTGCAAGTGTGCGAGTGTGGTGAGTGTGTGTAACTCTTTGGCCAGACAAGCTTGGTTGGGTTACACACAAGTATGGGCATTTGAGAACTCTAAAATGATCCAATAACTTTTATGGGCTAAAATGACACTTTTAGAACCCATTTCAAAGCTATTACAGAATGATTAGACACTATGAAATTTAGAAGCCATATGCTAAGAAAAATGCAAATGTATTTTTTTATGACATCTTGGAGATACCACATTAACATCAAAGAGGCATATTTTGTAGACTAACATGCTTGTCAGATAGAGTTGTCTATTTGTGTGCCTAGTCACCAAAGCTTTTTATGTGTTCTAAGAAAAATATTGTGCACTTATTTTTGTACTGGTGCTCCTTTTCCTGGACCTTGATTTCCTTGCAGAGCCGTCCCCATCATGAACCTACAGTATAGTTAAACTGTGTTGAAGGAGTCTTCCTCTCCTCTCATTTACTGCAAATGAAGATGGATCAGGAAAGTGTAATAGGTTTGTATAGCATAGGGCATTAGTCTTTATTAATGAGGAACTGTATTGACTGGTCAGTAAAACGGCCAAAAAATAGATTATGATTAAAAATTTGGACTAGTTGTATCTGTTGTAGGTCTTCTATACCAGTAAATTTATTAGGTGAGTATAAGTTACAAATTTGCTGTCACTGTGGCCCATGGTTAAGTGTACTTGTAGAATTGTGGAGTGGACTAAAGTTAAATTAGAGCCTGACCAATAAATCGGCATGTTGATATTATTGGCCGATATGAGTGAATTTCAGATACATCGTTATCAGTGTTTATAACAGCCGATCAATGACAATTGCATAGTTTGTCCAACAGAGTGTTTGGAAGCCACAAGTCCACAGCAATCAGCTGACATAATCAGCTTTGCTTTTGTTCAAAGTACCATTTAAAACAATAAAACAAGTTTATTTTCAAACTGCATTATGTAATGTTATCTTCACTACACATATCAAATAGGGATGTGTTTCTGTAAAGAAGAAAAAAAATAGTGGCCGTTTTATTGGAATACTGGATTTTATAATCCTCAAATATCAAAATCGGTATCGGTCTTAAAAATCCCATATTGGCCAGCCTCTAATTTGCATGCCCAGTTATATAGTAAAAATAAATCTAGTAAAAATAGGATGATGTATCAAACTGGATTTTCCCTCAGGTGATGTTGTTTGTTACTGAAAGATGTTTGTGTAGCCTCCAAATCTGCTCTAGCAGATGTGGTAGATCATAGAGCAGCTATGCTGTTGCTGCATTCTCGGAAGTTGGAGATCAGAGCTGGGAATGACATCACACCTGAGCTGACGGCATTCCAGTTAACAAGTCCAAAAACCTTGCCCGGCCAGCCATTGTTTACAACTAGCCAGGTTAGCTATTGTTATCCCGGCTGATTAAAAAAAAAACACATTGTGCAGTATTTACTCATACTAAACACTGTGGCAACACGTCCATAGTGAGCAGCTGGACAGCACTTTGTGTACGAAAATTTCTACGAGATACAAGTACACAGAAGTGCTAATAAACAGTATAAACTACAGCTTTCACTAACTGTCAGACCAGATCTTGGATCACAAACTAGTGGTAGTGCGGTTCTCCCAACTTTCCAAGCCGGAAATCCAACTTAAGGGGTGTTCCCTTTCAAATTTCCGACTTTGAACTTTGAAATTCCGACTTCCCTTGTCAAATGGAACATACCATATAAGCTGCTGAAGAGAACAAGCCTCCCCGTCATCATTTCTTAGCTTTGCCGTGCTTGTGTGAGGTATGTAAAAGTAAAATGTGCTGGTACGCTTTTTTAACACTGAAACCTGTGTTAATTATAGTCCTTCTCAACCGATGATACTGTACTGTACAAGTTCGACTCATTCAACAAGTTCAGTTGAAGTTGTTCACCTTTTGCCATCAGAAAGACAACGTTGATTCAGTTCGTGTGAGGAGGAGGGTCATGTTGTTCACTCTGTTTTAGGGGTTTGCAGTATCACATATAAGGAGCAAAGTCTGAGATGTGTCACATATTACTTCTTGCTTTTAATTCTCACTTGGCACTTTAACACAGAGGCAGTAGCGGCTGGTGAGCAACAAAGCATGTCACAGTCATATTGTCAATTGAGGCATTCTTTTACTCTCACTTGCCTGATCTCTCAGGCAATTATCCCCAGCCTATTTTTGCTGGGACAACGCCAAGCTCTTCATTAGAATCTCTTCCTTTCAGGGTGAAATGAAGACAGGTGGTTTACCGTATTATTCTTTTTACATTTTTAAAAATAATTCCTACATGCAAACTTGGCAACATGTCACTATCGGGGATATGGTAAAAGCATCTGCTTATTCAGGAAGGTCCAAGAATACCATATATTTTGATATCTGTGTTTAGTTTTGATGCTGTCTATGTTGACAGTGTTGACTTGGTTCATGGTGAAACGAGAGCACTGCACCAGAAGTTGAGGCATCCATGGTCAGCAATAATTTAATGAATGAATTTAAGGAAAGTGTCAGTTTAATATTTTCTGTCAGCAATCCCCCCCCCCCCCAGCTCTTACTTCCATATCTTTTTTACTTCTAACATGTTGCCTGCCCAGTCTTGGGTACTTTGATGCAAACAATTTAACTAGGTCTTCCACTCTGAGCCAGTAAGTTTCTTGCAGACAGCTATTGCCTTATTACCTTCTCACGGCACTTTTAAAGAATCGGGGCTATGTGATAAATAGAAGTGGAAGAGCTGCACAGTTCTGATGACAACAGTAAATCTCCTTTTTTTTGCTGTGGCAGGGACTGCCTTGAGATGCAAAAGAGGCAGTCAGAGTTATCATTGACTTCCTCCCCCTTTTTTGAAGGTCATAAACAAATCTCCTGTCAAGAGCCTTCACAAGGAAGGCTCCTGCAAAGCCCTTTATTATTCACAATCTCCCCAGAGGATCTGCTACGTCTGAAACATGAATGATACTCCCACACTGCCATACCACTGGCTAAATCCTCAACAAAAACCATTACATTTTTCAGAGGCTTGCTTGTGTCTGGTGCCTTCTGTTTTTTTTCCTCCCCCGTGGTCACTGACATATCGCTCCAGAGAGGGCAGCTTTGCGGAGAGCTGTGATTTGTAGGTAACGACAAGGCCATTTCAAGCCTTGAAAGGGTATGGGGACTTGAAGCATAGGCTTATTATGCTTTAAAGTATTTGTGGTCATAGAAATTGAATCAATAGCACAGGCCCCTGAAACTCTCTACCTTTTTTTGTAATGATTCATCCCCTAGCATTTAAAGAGAAAAAAAGATGCACTTTACATTCTGGTGGGAGGTCGTCACCTTGTGTTTCTGACGGGGGCGGGGGGAGGAGGGGGGGCAATGCTGTTATTTTCTGTGTCAGAGGCTTATTCCAGCTTGGTGACAAAAAACAGTGGTTTGGAGAGTGACAGAGCAAACACCTGCATAGTGCTGTGACACGAATGGACAAGAATACACATACTGTGTATCACAGCTGACACAGATGAAGGAAAAAAAGATAATGATTTTCTTATCTTATGTGGTATGTGTGCTTGATATGGATGAAATTGTTTTTCATGGTATAATCCTATGGAAGTATTTGATTTGGCCAATCCGGCAAATGAAATACCTGTCAAATCAAGATACTTCACAAACTACTTCATACTTAGCATAGCAGCAGTCCTGCTCTTTGATTTGCAGCATTGTCTACAAGTGTCCCAGTGGTAACCTCAATGAATTGCAATCATCATTAGTGGAATTAATTACACCTGTGCTTCTTCTAATATGACGTGCAAAAGCCAACACAAAGTCTTTTATTGCCCAACCTAATTTTCGCTTGTTTCTAGCCTTACAATCAGACAGAATTGCCATTCGTCGCTGAACGAATCAGAGGTGTTAGCGGTGAATGAAAGGTGTGGAACCAGGCTAGCTTATTTCATCTCTCTGTGTAAACACCTACTTAAAAGTAAAAACATTTGGTCAGTATGTACTTACTGAGCACACTTGGAATCAATCATGTAGATAGGGTACAATTGATTTGTAGACTCTTGAAGATGTGGAATATATGACCTTAGACCACCATCATGCCCTGTAATCAATTTATGTTGTCTGTAATTTGTTGGATGTTTGCCACAACACATCCTGTAATGTTTCGTCTTTAACAAAGGCCATCTCTGATGATATTTTCAAGGTCTTATAGTCTAGTTACCAATGAAAAGCAGAGTGCTATTGGTGTCATGAAGCCTGTTAACTCAGGAAAAGCTCCTCTATGAAAAGGCAAGAAAGAAAGGACAAAAATTAAAGTCTAAATGTCTCCACACTCTCCTGTG